CTCTCTCTCTCTCTCTCTCTCTCTCTCTCACACACACTCTCACATACACACACACAAACATTGTCATGCTTTTCCAAACGAGACAAAAAAGTGCCCCGCCCTCCTCCCCAAAATAAATTAAAACAAAACCAAAACCCAAAACAAACAAACAAACAAACAAACAAACAAACAAACTAAAGAAACAATCAAAACAACCCTCCCCACACACAGACACACACACTTACACACACTTACACACACTTACACACTCGCATTAAAAAATAAAATTTAATCCAGGAAGCCCCAAAACGGTGTCAAAGTATGTTTTAAAAAGTTATTCCAAACCATTGGTATTCCATCGCGATGTCTGGCGGAAGACGTTGCCTCTAGATTAGGTCTTTTCTCTCATTCTCCTTCTCTATCCCCACCCTCCCACACACACGCGCATACTTTCGTGTTTCTGTCCATAGCTTTCCCCGTTTCCTCTCAATTTCCCGTGACTCATTGTTTGTCCATGGAAGGTGTGTAAAGTTCGAACTTGACTGTCGCTATTTTTTGACCCCTCATCCGGTAAAATGTCCCTCACTACACTTTTCTTTCTTTCTTTCTTTTATTGTGGTTTTATTTTGTTTTTTTTTAAACTTTTAATTCTCGCATAACTTCACTCTGCTTTTATTCAAATCTAATTATTCGTCGCTAGTTGGAGAGCGCCACTGGTAGGTCTTACTTCTTTTCCTCTACTCTGTTGTTTCTGTCTGTCTGCCCCATTTGTTCCCCAGTACTAAATGACAGTTATTGTGCCGATGGACTTTTGTTTACTCAAACCATAGACCTCAATTCCATGAATTATGTACTAGACTTGGCTTTGCCGTGGCCACCACTCTTTCCTCTCTTAAAAAAACAACTTCGCTGTAGTTGTATGACAAAACACCCAGTCTGTCTGTAGTAGAGTGTGTGTGCACTCTTCCTCCCTGCCCTTCATTGGTTCCAAATAGAGTCAAATGGTATGCTTCATGGTGAAGCAGAATTATGTCAGGAGTTCCCAATCGTGGATATTATAATACGAACCGATCCTTATAACTTATACCAAACCAAAAATGCAACCAGAGTAGAATTTTTTTTTTTTAAATTTAGAAGTTTTTCTTGTTGACTTTGTCGTAACAAATTTCGTTCCTATATTATGAGTGGATGCTTGGAAGGCGCTCTGGTATGGTTTGCTCCTTCTTTCCTATTACGAATCTTTCTTCCTTATCTCCCCTCCTTCTTTTTCATGTCCGTTACTCTTTTGTAACACCTCTAATCTTCTGCACTCATATGACCTTATTATGATGCAAGTGTCATTAAACTCTTACCTAAATTAAAATATTTGATTAGACTTTTAATTCTTTCATTACAGGTATCAAGCAGCAGTCAGGATAACCTGGCCCAGAGCATTTTGGACATCTTTGGGCCCTGGAAGAACCACCTGAGCGGAGGTGGTAGCAATGGAGTACGCAGTCGCACTTTGGTGGAAGTCCCTAGGTCGTCAGCGTCTGCCGATGTCCGCCAAGCCCAGGGCGGTAGCAGCAGCACCTCGTCCAGCAGCGGCGCCACCACTGTTACCACCACCGCCACAACCGCCGGGGACAATCAGGCCGGTGGGGATCCACAGCCCGCTGTAAGCTCCTCAGGTCGGCACCCCCCGTCGACCGAAACTTCCTCCTCCTCCTCCTCCAGGTCATCCAGCAAACACGGCTCTTCTTCCAACCTGTCGCAACACAAGCCTCCGCCGCCCGACACAGGCCAGTCCTCCTCCTCCTACCACGGGCACAGGCAGCGGGCTGGAGGTGGTGGCAGTAGTAGTTTTGCGACGGCGACGTCCTCAGCCGATGCTGAGAGGCCTTCCTCTCTGTCTTTGTCCTCTACTTCCTCCTCCTCCGCCAGCGGCGGCCACAGAAGCTCCTCCGGGAGAACCACCCTGTTGCCCACACCGCCAGAGAAACCCTACAACTGTTCTTTTAGTCCCGCGGCTCCCGTGTTGTCTCCTTACCACTCCAAGGACATTCCGTCGGGGCTCAAGGATAACGACGGATCAGGGTCAGGGCTCAAGGACAGTGGCCAGAGGCAGTCGTCCTCGACCTCCACCACCTCCTCCTCCTCAAGTCACACCCCTCCCCCGCCGTCATTGACTGCCAAGTTGAAAAATTCCTCCCTCCACTCCAGTTCTCCTTCGAAGGATGGCAACAAGGCCTCTCACCATTCGTCTAAGTCAAAACAGTATGCTGAACCACCTTCCTCTTCCGCCTCATTATCGTCCGGAAAAGATGGCAATAAGAGCGTGAGCCCACCCCTTCATGCCATCTCATCGTCCACCAATCCAGCTGCTTCCAGCAAAGATCACGGCCATAGTGGCAGTAGCAATAGCAAAACACACCACAGTGCTGCCTCCAAACGCCAGAAGTCACCAGCCCCAGGCTCATCTGCTTCAACAGTGCCTCCCAGTAGTCAGCCAAGCGCCACGGCCGTGTCATCTGCCTCCTCCACCTCTAGCTCCGGCCACAAGCATGGCTCCGCCTCATCTGTGTCCCCTGTCTCCGCCCACAAGCACTCCTCGGCCGCCGACACGTCTCCCGCGAGACAGCAGCAGCGGAGGAAAAGCCCGACCCCGCCCAGGCCCCGCTCCACCACGCCCACCAAGCCGGGCGCCCGCCCGCTCAACGGCCTAGTGCCCCCACATTCCAAGATGCCGGTGACGCCGGTCACTGTGTCCAGCAGTACACCAGTCTCATCCTCTTCTTCTTCCCACATGTCCTCAGCCGCCGTCGCCTCCTCGGCCTCATCATCATCATCTCTGCTCAGCAGCAGCAGCAGCAACATGACATCATCGTCCAAACCGCTGAGCTCCACTGGTGCTGGACTCGCCGAAAAGAAACCGCTGAAGCTCCTAATGCTTGATGTAAGTTTCTCTCCGGTACATGTGTCTTGTAATAAGTTGTAAGACAGGCCTTAAAGTCATAAAAAAAAATTAACCGGGACATATTGCTCGGCCTGCTTTTTGTGTTTAATCTTCCCCCAAGAATTAATTGCGCCGTCTGGTATGTGCAACCTTTTATAAGGACTCTCATCTTTCTTCCTTTGCCTCCTTTTTCTTTTTGGCATAGTCGCTCGGAAGGTGGGGGG